GGGGATAGAATAAGGGTTAGATTTGGGGATAGAATAAGGGTTAGATTAAGGGTTACAATAAGGGGTTAGATTAAATGGATAGAATAAGGGGATAGACTAAGAAGATAGATTCATGGGCTAGAATAAGGTGATAGAATAATGGGTTAGAATAAGGGGTTAGATTATGGTGATAGATTAATGGATTTATAGCATTAAGGGGTTAGATTATAAGGTGATATATTAAGGGGATATATTTATAGATTAAGGGGTTAGATTAAAGGGTTCGAATAAGGGGTTAGATTAAGGGGATAGAATAAGAGGATATATATAGATTAAGGAGTTAGAATAACGGGTTAGAATATGGATTAGATTAAGGAATAGAATAAGGGTTAGATTAAGGAGTTAGATTAAGGGGTTAGATTAGAAGGATAGAATAGAGTCTATTTAACTGTTTCAACATTGTACGCCAGTGTCCTCTATCATTTTTATTTTTACAAATCTCTTTTTGAAAAATACCAAGAGCTGAATTCGATGAAGAATAATTTTCTCTACATATATATATATTAAACCTATATATAGATCCTTTCAAAAACTAAAAGACCAATCAATGAGTATTGTCTATTGTTTTCCTTATGATACTATGATTTCTCAGCTAAGTGTTCATAGTAGACGTAGACGGTCATTTTCAGTGTTTTCAATCATTTACATATCGTCAGAAAAATCGAGTGCACTACTTATACTTTGCCGAAGAAATGTACGTTTCTATAGCAGTACTTGAAATTGAAAATCGATGTATAGTATTAAGTTAAATATAAAGTTTTAATGATGGTGGATTGTGACCTATTTCAATGTATTTTATCAACAACTAGCTATAGCTTGTTTTTTCTCTTGAGAGGTATGTTCAAATTTCCGAAAAAGAAAATTACAGAAATTTCCGAAGCTTCCATCAACTCGATGATTATATAGCAGAGCAAATAAAAATTTTTTGGATATATTGGAACTTTTAGAATTTTTAGAAATTTCTGTAATTTCGCTAGGTACAGAATTTTGGAACTTTCAGAAATTTCGGAAATTACATGATTTTGAGAAGTACTAAACAATTTAAAAGACAAGTGCTGGAAATTTCCGAAACTTCCAAAATTTCATTTTTCGGAAGTCTAAACACTGCTGTACTAATCTATATGTTTCTGAATTGTAAAGATTCTTTCTAGATGTCAATCAAAGTTACGTCGTCTGCTGATACAGAAAAGAAAATAATAGATCAAGAATTAGAAATCGTAAGTTTTAAAATTTTTCTCTAAAATCTACAGTCATGATTGTCTTTAAATTTGATTCTTTGGACTCTTTTAGGCTTTCGAAAAATGACGTGCTAATCCAGCTGATATTAGCATCATTCAGGAGATCAATAACATTCGTGTCAGTAAAACCTTTTATATGTTTTTTACATTTCATTATATTTTTATTTTAGATTAAATACATAAATGTATCGAAACATATTACGGTAAGAAGAGAAAAAATGATGAATACATTCAAGAAATAGAAAAAATGCTAATTTCTGTTTATTTTTCCTAGTCAAAATGGGTTCAAATGGTTCTCTAGTAATAGGATTATTTGATATTCAGCCGATTACTAAATTTCAATCGATGAAAACTGAACTTTTTAAAATTGATTTCGGTTGGTGATAATCAACTGAAATAATTTACGATTAGAGTTGTTTATTTACACTCAGTAGTTCTCATAATTATTTATTGATGCATACTTTTCTATTTTTTTCACTAGCTTTCATGTTAAGACAAATCATAACTGAAATAAATTAAATATATATTAAAAACAAATTTTTCCATAAATCAGTTTTGAACAGTTTCTATTCATAGTTTTGTTTCGGTCTAATTGTATGTATAATAATTCTACAATAGGTGGAGATGATGTTTGGAGTAGATCCGTATCCTAGTTAACATTGTTAGACGCTTGTTAATTTATGTAGATACATGGACTTCAATGGGTACTGATGGTCGATTGTACACTGACAAATAAATTATATTTTAGAAGGTTTCGACAATCGAAATATTTTAAAACTATCGTCAAGATCTACGAAATGATTTTAAGTTTTTTTCAAAGTTCTTCAGTATCTAAAAGGGTTTTGATTCCATTTAAATTAACAAAAGATTATTTTTGCTTTATATCGTACCTTTTTTTCAGCAAACTTTAGTGCATTCTTCAAATAAATCTCTTCTATAGAAAATAGAAATTTCCCATGATTTTTTTAACACATTTGCATCCTAAGTTTTAATAATAATAAGAATCCCTAGAACGGTATTAAGTGAAGATTTTCTTTATGAGAAGAATTTTCAAAAATGAAAATAGATTCTAATTTCAAATCATACAATCTTTAAAAAAAAAGTACCAATCAAGTTTTTCATCTAATATTATTCTAGAATACAATTCTGATTGAATTCCTCAGAAAGATAGAGCAAAACGATTTTAAACACATTAAAGCGTCTTCAAGATCTCTAAAACATTTTTTTTTGACTGGCATACTTTGCTCAATGCGAAGGCAAACAAATGATTCTTTCTCAAAATTTCGTATACAAACATAACTCTTGTGCCTTCGGAGGGATTGATGTGTGACAGTCAAAAAAAAACTGTTTTAGAGATCTAGAAGACCTTTCAATATGTTCAGAATTGTTTTGCTCTATCTTCTTCAGTGATTCAAGCAGAATTGTATTATAGAATAATATTAGATGAAAAACTTGATTCATGCATTTTTTTCTTTTTTCTTTTTGAGATCGTATGATTCGAAACTAGAATGATTTTTTCATTTTTCTATTACTATCATCATAAATAAAAATCTGTACTTAATACAGTCATACGGATTCTTGTTAGCGATAACAATACTGGGGGAAAAGGAAAAAAAAACATGAGTATGAGTTATCCTGTAGATCATTATAGATAAAAGGTTTTGTTTTATGATTTTTTTTTTCTTTGTAGAATACGGAAACAGCATCAACTAATTTCGAATCATCGAATGATGCACAGTTATCATCAACTAATACTGAAACATCAAATAATAAAGATTCATCTGAACATAGTTCACGCCGATTAAATGATGATAATCAAAATAATTCTTATTTTCAAATGGGTGAGTTATTATTATAGTTAGCTATTAATATATATTAAATAGCAACAGCAATAAAGTTTTTTAATATGAATATCTGTAGAGTGAGAATAAAAAGTTATGAAACCTTTTACTTTTCAATTTTCTCTGCGAAAGATAAGTTGATAATGACATCTAAATAGTGATTTTGATAACTGTCAAAATAGAGTAGAAGATTACCGTTACTGTCCTGAGATTTTTCGATTATA